TTACCCTGGTTACTTGCCTTCTCTTCACTCTCCCACCCTGTACACTTCTGCAGTTTTATGGAGATGGTGGAAATACACGTTCAGTTTTATGGATCAACTCATAATCATCAGCATTACTGCTGTCCTTCAGCAGTTGCAATACTCCGCTCTTCAACATGATCCTTCTAAATAAAAGATAGTGAGTAAGTGCCACTTTTAAAGCTCTCAGAGAAATGATTTTCTTGGAAATTAATAACATGCATATTGCTATACCAAAAACTATTAAAGATATAATGCCACATGCAATAGGATCTGTTCTGATGTTGTTTACAAACTATTCAAGAATATCAAAGAATTATTATTTAACCATATTTAAGGATAGAATATCTGACAATATCTAAGAATACAATATCCATCAACTTTTAAAGAAATATTTTACCTTAAAGCCCTGAGTAACTAAGATTTCTTCTCCTGGTAGGAGAAAATATTTTTTGAGAAATATTGTCTGAGTATTCCTAACTCTCAAGAAATTTTAGTGAAAGGGTCTTATTTTTATATTGTGTCTCAATCCCTCCTGCTTTGTAAATGTGAGTATTAACCCACTCTATATGTTCCTCCCACTTACGTGATGCTGTGTAATTTGATATTGCCCCTTATTTATTCAGCAAAAATTCATTTATGAAGTTTTATCTAGTCAATTTGTTTGTGATGTTTTTAATCCTTAAATGGAGATTTCTTTCCAAGCTTCCCTTATTCTTCAACCTTAAAAGAATCCTCTAAAGACTTATCAGTCAAGGTGTTTCATTTCTCATCTTTGAGTGTTTGATGGCATTCATGTAATAAGGATCTTTCCATCACTTATCAGTTGAATACTTCCAGCAATGTGGATCCATTATCTCTCACTGTAGTGAACGCTTGGGTGTGATGGTGTCATGCCTGTTTTCCAGGCCTTCTTTTCAGTGATTAGACTATTATCAATATCTCTATTAATATTAATTAATAACATATGTATGTTGTTTCCATGTCCTCTTCTAGGTATATCCTAATTTCACAGTGGACCTTTCTGGTTTGCTACTCATTGTGATGCAGTCTTTAATGATTAACTCCTTGTTTACATGAATCTTTATATGTAAATCTGTACATGTCCTACATAATTAGTTACATTTATTTTTGAATCCAAGCTACATTTCTAAGCAGATTTTGTATCAGTGCAGGTTGGATGAGCTTCACCTGAAACATGAGGTGAATAGTGTTTTGGCAAATCAAGTAATAGGGAAGTAGAGAGGGATTTAAATGAAATAGTCAGTGGAAGGCATGATGTGAGAGAAAATACAGAAAATCAAAGGGAAACAGTGTGGTAATAAAGCAGGGTAGTAACTAGGGTTATGATAACCAGAGCGTGGCAGAAAGGGATCAAGAGTACAAACCTAATTGTGTACCAGGTCAGAGACTGAAAAATTGGTAAAAGTAGAAGTAATGGCACTGTATCTGAAAGCGTGCAGCATTCACAACAAAATGGATGAACTGTTGGTACAGATGAAAATAAATATGTACAACCTGATAAATATTAAAGGGCGACCAATTCTGGGACTTAAGAATATCTAACATTTCAAAAAGAAAGTGAGCTTGGAGAAGATTTCAAGGATTCCATTAGTACAGTAGTGAGACGTGGCCTTAGCTCACAAAAAATTATGTATATTTATATATATTATTTACGTTTTAAAACAGGAAAAGTGTAACTAAAGCTAGTAGTGGTGCTCTGGAGAGCAAGTATGGCAAATTAATAATGGAAAATAACAAATATTTTTGTTTGTCCTCATTGTAGAAAACTTGAAGATTTCCCATAGGTTTAAAGTTTTTGAGATTTGTAGCTCTGGTTGTGGATGAGGTTGCAGACTTGCTCACCAAGTTGGTGTGTTTGATTGCAGACATTTCATCACCCTGCTAGGTATCATTGTCAGTGTGCCTCTGGTGAAGCCTAGCCAAAGAGACAATTGCTACACTGCTGGACAAATCAGGAAGGTAGACACGCCATGACACCAACAGCATCAACAAGGACAGCACCCTGAAACTACTGAATCTAGGTCTCACAACCCACTTCACCTTCAACGGCCGTATATTTAAACAAATCAACGGAACACCAATGGGAACTCCAATATCAGAACTGATAGCAGAAGTGGTAATGCAAAGATTAGAATGGCCAACGCTTTCCACTATCCAACCCAAACTCCGAGTCCGCTATGTAGATGATACCTTTGTGATTATCAAACGCACAAGACTAGAAGAAACCCACCGACACATAAACAATATCCTCACCTCGAATAAAATCACAAAAGAAGACGAGAACAACAACCGACTACCCTTCCTGAACGTGATGGTGGAACAAAAGAACAATGGGGAACTCCAGACTAGCTATACAGTAAGACAACACATACAGACCAGATACTTAATTACACCAGCAACTACCCCAACAACCATAAATGGAGCTGCATCAGGATGTTATGCAAACAAGCCACAACACACTGCAGCAACCCAGAACTGCACAAAGCAGAACAGGAGCACTTGTACGGAGTTTTTAAAAGGAACGGATATCCAAAAAGCACAATCCATCATTACCTCTGCGACAGACCACAGCAAGAAGACACAATATGGCATGACACACTGGTCACCCTACCGTACATCAGGGACATATCAGAGATGACCACAAGACTACTCAGACCTCTAGGTATCAGGGTAGCCCACAAACCAATAACTACCCTGCGACAGCTACTGACGAACATAAAGGATCCCATACCCACAACCAATAAAACTAATGTAATTTATGAAATACCATGTAAGGACTGTGAGAAATATTTACATAGGCCAAACTGGAAGAAAACTGGCAACAAGGATACAGAAACACCAATTAGCCATCAAGAGACACAACTAATTCTCACTGGTCTCAATACACACGGACAATGAGGGACACGAATTTGACTGGCACACCACATCCATAATAGCACAAGCCAAACAGAGACATGCCAGGTAATTACTGGATGCCTGGCATTCCAACCAGAACTGCATCAACAAACACATTGAACTGGACCGATATACAAACCACTGAAGAGCAAAACCGGAAGTAATACCAACCACCCTAGCAAACCAAGGCATATAAATAACAAGCGGGATGGAAGACCAACGCTTCACCGGAGGCGCACTGACGATGGGTGACAAAACATCTGCGATTAAACACCCCGATTGTCAAGCAAGTCTGCAACCTCATTTCCCAAAGGTATTTAAAGATCAAGGTATAGACAGGACAGAGGAAAGTGAACCATCACCATCAACAAAGAAAATGCGCCAGACAACCTATTGGACCTAAAGGTTGACCATGCCCTAGGAACCTATGGCCTACATCTTTGGGACTTAAAATAAGTGGCTGCTGAAAAAGTAGATTAATCCGTTCTCATTTCCAACCTTCCTAAGATTTTGGAAGGATCAGAGAAAATGGAAAACAGCTAATGTAACGCTATTTGATAAGATGCCACATTAAGTGTTGTGGGGATCATATGGTGTATTGCATAAAGGATTGGTTTGCTAACAGTCAGCTGGCAGTAGAAATACATAGATATTTTTGAGTTGGCAAGGTGTAATTAGTAGAGTGACAAGCATCAGTGTTGGGACCTTAACTGTTGACACTCTGTATCAATAATTGGGATGTAAGGCACAAACATCTGGTAGCTATCTTTGATGAAGACCTTTGAGGTATATATTCTTAAAAGTTTCTACTGTCCTACATGTTAGTGTCATTTCCCAGTTCATATTTGCTAGCTATTCCTTCATATCATTATAATTACCTTTATTGAGGTTTAAATCATAGTCCTGGACTCATCTACTAAGATGTGTAGGAAAGTAACTTAACTTGAGGAGTAAAGAGCCTGCAATGGCAAAAAGATAGGTTAATGATGCAAATTTTCTGACACAGTTGCATTTTTCTTTGATTTCGCACCCACTTAGTGTCTGGTACAGGGAGGCTTTCTGGGGCCCGCAGTGTTCAGATCAGGGTACATTCACTATACTCGGGTGGGGGAAAGGCCATTAAGCTTCAGACAGGGTGGGTGGGCCTGCCATGCTCAGGTTGAGGGCTGAGGGCCTAGGTCAGGAGCAACACACTGCCCATGATTTCTGGCCCTGTCCCTAACCATCCTTTCACTCAGTTAAAAATTTCCCCAAATGATGTGAGCAGTTTAGCAACCAGAATGTGGCATATTCGTTGGTTGTCATCAAGACAAATTTCATACTTGCCTTCACGATTCTCATCCTCAAAGACCAAATACAATTGGTGCACCTGTACTCATGTCAAGGACATATTTTTCATAAGTCCACAGATACAGTACTTGATGAATTCAGTAATATTACTGAATATTCAACTTAAAAAATAAAAATAAAATCACTTGAGAAATGACTGCTCCAATGCAAAAAGTGATCTCTGAAATGCAGGTTCTCTGTACTTTGCATCCACTTTTATTGAGACAGCACATGATCTGCAACTGAAAGCCAAGGTTCATGCTATTGTCATTGTCAAAGTGCAATTTAAATTCCATTTAAATGGCAGGGTTTAGATTGGTGTGTTGCAGTTTTGAGCCAGAGGAAATAGCAAGACTATCAGCTGGATTTTTTTCAAAAGTATTTTTTAAATATTTGTCAATGAAAACCTAGTTGTTCCAATTGTGCACAATGCAGATGTCCAGAGTAAGGCAAACACATTCTGATCCTTTTTGCATTGCACTCTTGGTGTGGGTTGTAACACATAACCTGAGGATATTATGAAGCATTTTAAACTGTATACTTAAATGGTTTGATTTGTTGCTTTATTAGGGATCAGCACATATTGTAATTTCCAATACCTATTCCTTAAGACTGAACAGATTTATTTGTTCTTTACTGCAGCACAATAGCTTAGCATTTGGAACTTGTGAAAGTAGTGAAATCACTAAACCTTATAGATTGTTGCTTTCTCAGAACTTTGATTTATTTTTAAGCTGGCTGAAAGTGGCAGAAGTCATTCTATTCTGATGGATATAGCAGAGTTAGCGTACAGATTTACACTTGGTGGAATTGCTGGAGGTTAGTTAAAATACATTTTCTTTCCCTGCGTATATACACAATTTCTGTATATTAAAAAATGCTTTCTCTACCTTCCTTTGGATGAGATTCTTCATTGTATGGATGAGAGACCATATCATTGCAACCTTTATATAAGTGCTTTTGTACCTGCCGCAGATCAGAGGCAGTATTTCTGTCTCACTTGGCTCCAGACTAGCTTCAGAAGAGACAAGTTAATAATGAGTTAGAGTTACTTCTGATGCAATTTTAATTAAAATCTTTCTTTGTAAAGTTGGCAGATAAAAAGAACCTAATTGATGAATGTGATTCTACTATGGGAGTAAATTACTGTCTCTTGCTTTGTCTCCATTGTTACAGGTTTTAAAATAACTTTATTGATACTCTGCTCTACAGCCACAGGTGCCACTTCTGTCTATCCTGTTGACCTAGTGAAAACTCGAATGCAAAACCAGCGTTCCACAGGAGCATTTGTGGAAGAGATTATGTACCATAACAGCTTTGATTGCTTCAGAAAAGTGCTGCGATATGAAGGCATCATTGGACTTTATAGAGGTCAGTTTGTGCATTGCTGTGCAGTCAGTGCGCGTTGTTGACAGGATTTTTCAAAGGAAATATGATCTTTCTGTTCTAGGCAGCAGAGATTACTGCTCATTTGATAAATCCTGTCTGCATATTTTGCTTGAAGAATACGTCACCATTCGTAGAACTGCTCACAATTTAAACAAGTTACAACTTAGTTAGGAGGGCTGATCTGATTCCTTTCCTCGTCTGACTCCTCCATTGGATAGACAGTTTGAATTTAAAAAAAGGAGGTATTGTCAATCATATATCTCTAAATCAGACCGCATACAGCTCAGTAACAGAAGCAAGCCACTCAGTTTCCTTTAGTTATAAATGAAAAAAACTAGTTTAATGCAAACAAGACAAGTGAAGATATGAAGATTATTAACAAAAAGTTGAAACAGTCCAAATATGTGCAGCTAACCTTTTTGAAAGTTAGTACTGTACACAACCTCTAAGTCTAGGGAAAATATATAAAAATGCTGCAGAGATTTATTTTAAATGTACTTTGGCCAATTAACAGTTACATTTAGGAAAAAAGAATTACGGATTGTCCAAATGTTAGTCTATAGCTGAAGTCACTTTGCATACAAGCTGTTGGCACTAGTGCGCCTAATTCGATCAGTTATGGATGGCTGAAATCATTTTTCTGGAGACAGGGGTGTAAATTTCAAATGGTCCTTTAGCAACACTCCAGTTGAGGTCGTCATGCTTAAAACAGAGGGATGAAAGTGTGTTGCTCGTTTGGCTATTTAAATCAGACTGTAAGTTTACAAATCTATTAGTTCTATTACATCCACAAACTGGGTTATGTGACCTTTCTGCATAAGTATTGTAGACTGGTTAACTCTAGTTGACCAACTTCTATTCTTTGCAAATATAAGCATTTTCCCTGCTGCTGCTAGTCTTCTTTGCTTTGCAAAGCGTCCTTTCCAAATATCCAAGGTATAGATATTTATCATTGTTTGGAAATACAGAACCTGAATATTTCTGGAAGACGACACATTTTGTTGAAACTTTTTGTCTTGCCCTCATCAGGAGCTTTCAGAAGAACACAAAATCAAGGGGAAAACCAGCATTCATACTTCATGAAATGAGAAGGTGAAAATGTTCGACAAGTTGGACTAGTTTAGTTTGGGATTATGGTCAACATGTACTGGTTGGATCGAAGGGGTTGTTTCTGTGCTGTGTGATGCTATAACTCTACAAATGGACTCCGATTGATAGGGTGTAGAGTTGGATGAACACAGCAGGCCAAGCAGCATCATAGGAGCAGGTTGACTCTAATTGGTCGGGGAATTGCCCTGACAACTAGACCGGAGAATGCCTGTCACCTTTGTTGAGTTGAAACAGGCTTTGTGTGTGTACGTGTTTATTCTGTCTTCAAAGAACAGGGGCTTGTGTATTGATATGCTACATGCAAGTGCACCATGTTGTTAATGTGAATAAGAATCTAAATTGGTTATCATTAAAATTCCTCACATATTGAGAATTATCCAGCAAATGTTGTCCATTTGCAAAGTTACATCTGTGTTGCCCCTTTTACAAGCATAGGTTGGTTGGGTGCAGTGCATGCCTTACTTGTTGTGAACAGCCAAGTGAACATGCTGCTTGATATGACCTGCCAGTCTTTGGGATGAATAGCCTACATATCTAGCATTGTAACAGAATGTAGATGTTTGTCCGCTTAATTATATTCTGAATTCATGTTTCAGATAACACATCTTCATAACAAAACTGTTAACTTTTTTTTTGGTTTGCTTCTGTAAAGTTTTGTTTTCTTTATGGACCTGTTCCGATATTTAACTCGGTGTTAACTTTGTGAATTGCTGAGAAAACGTAACAAACTGATATCAGTAGACTTCCACGAATTGAGCATTACGTTTAAAGAATTTTTAAATCTTTGGATAGCTTACTCGGTCTACTTACAGTTAATCTCTTGAACTGTGCTATAATATCTATATTGTATGTGGGGAAAAGTAATCCTCCTTGCTCTCAAGATGCACACATTTTGACAGTTGCTAAAATAATTTATTGGATGACTTCATCTTCAAAAGTATTTTCAAAATTAGAAGCAGAAATCTGTCCTACTTGTCAGAATTTTACACAGTTGTTTGGGACAGTTACAGAAGCTTGATGCCACCAACATGAAGAACAGACTTCTAGCAGCAATATAATGGAAGGTAGTTAATATAGCTATGAGATAGCAAGAACTGCGGATGCTGGTGTCAGAGACAACACAGTGTAGAGCAGGCAGCGTCAGAGGAGCAAGAAAGTTGACATTTTGGATCAGGACCCTTCGTCAGAAAAACTGGTCAATCATCATCATCAGTTGTGTGAGTGCTTTTAGGTTTTGTGAGTGATGCAATGAAAACACAAGTATTCCAAGCTTCATTTGCTTAAAGAAGATGACAAGGAAGTGGGATTTTGGTATTGGTTCTAACCAACAACAAAAAAACGGAACAAGTTGGTCATGACAGAGAGAGTGGAGCAGTGCAGGCACTAGTACCTGAAAGCTAGAGTGGGGAAAAGTTGTGTTGCCAGCGTGTCATTGGCACAGTAGTGTCTTTTCAAAAGAAACAAGGGAAAGGAGGGACTGGTGCCGGCTTTGTACCAAGCTTTTCATGGTGAGAGAGTTCACTTCCCAAGCACTTCATACACCCAGGTTTCTGGCCCCCAGTGAGGAGTAAAAGCACTAGAGGGGAAGTGAGATCTGGCCCTAGGCAGCCTCAAGGCCTGTGAGGACCAATGGTTGTGTTGGGGATGCCAGAAAAGGGCGCACACTGGCATGTGAACAGCCTCCTGTGAGTAGAAGAGTCTATAGCCACCCGTAGCATAGCCAGTTCCAGATATCTGAATGACTGTGTCAACAAAGCCCTTCCCAAGGGAGGCTGTTGCTGATTTATGTGCCATGCTGCAGGACAAATTGGGACACCTTCAGTTTTGTGGACACCCAGTATCAGAGGTGCTGAAGATCCCTGTGGCTCTGAAATTTTAGCCCTCTGTTTCTTTTCAGTGATCCACTGGAGGTATCATAGAATTCCTACACTGTGGAAACAGGCCATTCAGCCCAACACCGCCCCTCTGAAGAGCATCCCACCCAGATCCATTCCCCTATCCCTGCATTTCTCATGTCTAACCCACCTAACCTAAACATCCCTGGGCACTATGGGCAATTCAGCATGACCAACCCACCTACCCTGCCCATCTTTGGACTGAGGTAGGAAACCGGAGCACCTGGAGGAAACCCATGCAGACATGGGGAGAATGTGCAAATTACACATATACAGTGCCCGAGGCTGGAATTGAACCCAGCTCCTTGGTGCTGTGAGGCAGCAGTGCTAACCACCATGCTGCCCTATCTGACACATTGGGGGGATGAAGGGGGTCACCAGTGCTTTGTTGAAGTGGTTTGGGTTTGTGAATTTGTGTGTTACCACACTGATCTGCAGAGTCATATGGAAAGGTCTCTTTGCGATGGGTGCTATTGCTGAAGTTCCTAAATGCCAAGCATCATTGAGTGCACATGTTTCAATAAAAAGAGCTTCCATTCACTCAACTGGTATATGACCACAGTAGAAAGATCCTTTAGTTGTGTGCACAGTTCCTGGGAACTATCAAGTAGACCATAGGGCTTCTTAAAGCAGTTAAGGTTCTGAGATTGATCTTCTGCGCTCTTTATTGTGCCTCAGTGAGGATTTTGAATTTCATGACTGCTGTGCATTGTAGAATCTGGCATTGAGAAAGGGGAGGCATTGAACAACAAGGATTTTAAACATTGCTGTTTTTTGCAAATTACTTATGAAAGGGCCTGTGTTCGCTGTTTTTGATTCTGAATGGTGCCCACTGTACCTCATATTACCCTGCTGTGGGTAGGTGTCTCAAAAATGTGAATAGGTGAAGCTAGAAGTTTCACACTTCTGCTTTGCAGTAAACCAGTGAGTGTGTTTCTCTCCACTAACAAGATGCTGCCATCAAGCCAAAAAGGCATTTTGCCTATCAGATAAGTGAGTAATATCTGCATTTCAGTGCCGGTGTGATGCTACGTATATGGGTGGAACATATAAAACAACACACCCCATTGACATTTGCAGCGGGCAGCATGCCAATTGTGTTTAATCAGCCTGTGCTTGTAAGCCTCAGAAAAGTACGTCTGCCATTAAATGTGATTCTGCTACTGGAAATCAGTTATTAAATAATCTGGACTATGCTAAGAATTAGCATTTGGATGTGGTAGAGACTGCATATATTAATACACAGAACCATGTTTTATGTAGGCAGAGTAATTCATACATACAGTACACCTTTTTTTCATGGAAAAATAAAGGATCATGGAGACTGTCAATCTCTGCTGTGTTCCCATTGTAACAGCTTGACCAGTCAGGGTCTGAGAATTAAAATTGAAACTCATTGTTCTTGCTGCATTTCCATGCGCTGCATTTCCATGCCAATGGTGGCTCAGATAATCTTCTACTTCTAGCCTCTTTTATAAATTAATGTCGTTTTTCCAAGTTTTGTTTTGCATCCTAGTCCTGATGAGTACAAGACGAAAAACTTTGTTTGCTAAATGGAAACTTTGTTTTCGTCTCCATTTAGCAACTTTTAAGTTCTGTACTACCAAGCAATGAGGATCTTATGGATCACAAGTCACCTCCTCCCAACAAAGACTATGAATGAAGTCACAAAGGAGTAGCTTGAATTGGAAAGAAATCTATCAAAAATAGAGGTGAGAAGAGTATGGCTGTCTTTGATATCAAGGCAGCATTTGACTAAGCGTAGCATCGAGGAGCTCTGACAAAATTGAAATCACTGAAAAGCAGGGAGAAATCTCCACTGGTTGGAGACAACCAAGCATAATGGCAAATGAATGTGATTCTTAGAGGTCAGCACCACCTTCTCCACTGCAATTAGGGACAGGCAGTAAATACTGGCCTAGCCAGTGACACCCACATCTCATGTACAAATAATAAAAACAATTCCCAGTAGGAAGG